CAAAAGCACATTGCTTTCTGCTTTTCATTTCCAATTTTCTGGAGAACCCTCAGTCAGTGAAGTTCTCTTTCCTTACCCTGGAGATGGTGAGGGGCATGTTGAAATCCTTTCCTCCCTGTAGTCTAAAGCCATATGGAGCGGGGCCATTCAGAGTCACTGTGTATGTACTCATCTTCTGTTTAATGTCAGCACTCCTCCTGCTAACAACTCCTTCTGTCGGTGCACTTTCTCCCCCTTATGCCTTGTTGCTGGTTATCCTTTTTGTCCCAGTCCCTGGTGCCCTGGTGGGTGCTGGCTTCTCCACCCTCGGTTAGCTTCACAGCCGTCCCTCTTCGTCTGAGTCCAGCTCTCAGTGCAAACACTACAGGGGGTGGGGTGATGGTGTTTGTGTGGGTGTGTGATTGTGTGTGTGTGGGGGGGTCAGGCGCTGTAGAACCTCTTAGACACACAAAAAGGACACTCACATACGGACACAGAGGGCAGAGCAAAGCAGAGCAGTTGACGATAAACAGACCCTAAAACCAAAAATCATCACGAAACACCAAATTTGTGAGGATCTCAAGCTTTAAATGTTACTAACAAACAAAACTAACGTAGAACTTCTTGCCTTCGTGGTTGGTAAGGTTGAGGGACACACAGGCTAAGAATAGCAGAGAGCAACAGAGACTTGGGGCCCCTGGCCCCGTATAAGGTCTGTAACACGAAGCCCCAGAATGCTTCACTGCCCGATTCACGTCGCTAATATAGACCCCTCTTACTGCAACACATTCTTTCTCTCTCTCTCTCTTGGTGTTATCGCTTGGTGCTGCCAGCACCATATTATCTGTTACCAGGTTCTTTTTTTTTTAGTTGGCGAGGTTTACTGCAGCCCAAGGTTAATTCTGCATGAGAGAGGAAACAATAAACTGGCTGACTCCCTGGAAACACATCCAGCTCCTGCTCTCTGTGGCACTGTGGGTCATATGGAGCAGTTTAATTAGCTGTCGACCACAGTTGTTAAGGTTAAATGAAGAGAAACTACAGACTGTTTAATGGGTGGTTAAAAGCTACCCTTTTCTAAATGTCACATCCAGATATGGCTTGGAATCCTTTACCAGCTTCCACATGTTTGAAGTCAAAGGTTCTGTGCAGGTGGGATTTTGCAAATTTGATTCGCCTTCCTTTAATTTTCAGCTCTTCATAGTGCTTGTACTCCTTATTAATATTCATAACAACTCTGTTGACCAGAGGCATGGGGGCGGGTTTCTATGAGATTCATTTCCCAATTTCTGCTCATGCATTAACCAGTGGAGCACTTGTTGACAGCAACACTAAAAGTAAAAGATTTTTGCTCTGCCACTTGTTCTCGTAATCGTCTTCTGCTTATCCAGGACCAGGCTGCAGGGGAAACAAACTCAGCAGAGACTTCCAGACTTCTCTCTCCCCAGGAATCTCCTCCATCTCTGCTGGGGAGAGCCTGAGGTGTTCCCAGTTCAGCTGGGAGACCTAGTCCTTCTTGCGTGTTCTGGGTTGCTCTGCCACCCCTATTTCTAATGCTGCCCAAGGCTGCAACTAACGAATATTTTGCAAATCGATTAAAAATATTCAAATAAAAATAAAATAGCCAAAGGTTCCTCAAAGAAGATTTGTTAAATTAAACCAGGTGAAACAAACTTTTCAACTTCATAAAGCATATTGACAGAAGAAATAAATATTTTTTCTATCTTAAATGCAAAATGGTTATATATATATTTTTTGCAATCTTGGTATAATTATTGTGGCTGCTCAGTGGCACAGTGTGTAGCACTGCTGCCTTGCAGCAAGAAGGTTCTGGGTTCACTTCCCGGCCTGAGCATGTGTGGGTTCTCTCTGGGTACTCTGGCTTCCTCCCACAGTCCCCAAAAAAACATGACTGTTAGGTTAATTGGCTTCTCTGAACTCACCTTAGGTGTGAGTGTGTATGTGAATACTGTAGCCGTTTGTCCCGTTTGTCTCTATGTTGCCCTGCGATGGACTGGTGACCTGTCCAGGTTGTATCCATAAACAGCTGGAGGTAGGCACCAGCACCTCTCACAACCCCACTTGAGATTAAGTGTGTAAAGAAAATGGATGGATAGTATAACTACTGCTCTACAGTATGTGGGGTTCTCTGTCAAAAGGCATGTTTTACAGTCTCTATACTCCGGTTAACTATTAATTGATTACTAAATTAGTTGACGATTAATCCAATAATTGTCCGATCGTTTACATGGGAAAATAAAGTGACTTACATCAAAGACTGTTTTAAGTAAATATATTCAGCAATGGTGTAGAATTTGGTATTTTTTATTAGAAAAATAAATAGAAGCAGCACAAACATTGTGTACAACAAAATCAAAGAAACCATCACTTCAATAAAGCAGAATTTAAATTCATCACATCTAGAACTTATACCTAAACTGTCAACAGGACAGCCATACATCAATAAAGTTAATACTATATGTAATGTTTTGCAGGTTTACTGACAAAGAAAATTCTATAAAGAGTATTAAGTTGAATTAAGCTTCAAATTATCATTTCACCCCAGTGTCAGAGTTTTTTTTTTTTTTTTTTTTTTTCTGATTCCATTTGGACTTGTCAGGAAAAACAATCAAGGTACAATCAAAGACAACGATGACATGTATCATAAAACGTTCTTAGAAATAATGAATCAAATAACAGAAATAATAAATAAAAAACAGAAGTTCCTAGTTTATTTTTGTCATTTTACTGATAGTTTACTGTGGCATGTTAACAGACTTTATATTTTAGAGCCCAAAAAAGGTGCACAAAATAAGTGGAATTATCTTTGCAACAAATGCAAAAGATATATACTTTTGCTGCATATAATCATTTTAATACTCCATGGTGGTATTTTTTTTCTTCCAAATTTATCCTAAAAATCAGATTTCACATTAATTACTATGACACACAACTCAGTTTAATTATATGCTGTCTCAAGGCACTTAACAAAAGCAAGAATGTTCAGTCCAATAGAGACAGATTTGAAGTTGAGTATATACAATTCATTCTTACTTATGGAACTGTATGCATTAATCCCTCTTCCTGCCCACAGTCGTTTTGCAGCAATGCTTAGCAAGCATGTGGAAACAGCAGAAAGCAACATGAAAAGGAAAGCTTGTGGATATAAATGTCTTCTTTTCTCTTCTTTTGCAAAGGTTGTTTGCATATATTTTTCATGTTTTAACGTCTTATTGAATTTGATACCTCAGCTTTTTGATAAGAAATTACAGAGTAAAATGAAACAACAGGTTTCTTTCTTTAGCATTGTGGTATGTATTTTACTGTACATACATCTATATCTCACTTAGAAATAAAACTTTTCAGTAATCACAAAGCTTGGCTCGATAACATGAGTCACTGATTCTTTTTATGGAAACACTGCATGTTTCCATGTTATCAGTAATTGCATACATAGCTAGAAAATTCATAGAAAGTTTAGATCTTACATATTGTGCAAAAATGATCACGAAATCTTGTGATTTTTAGACATTAACTGTGTTTTCTAACAAAACAACCCCACAAAAAAAGACACTTTTACCAACCACTTAGGTCATATGCATGGAAAAAAATGCTTTTTTAAATTCTCAAATCATGAAGTCTTCCAACAATCCTTGACACAGTTATTTTAAGGCTGATTTCTTCCATTCAGCGTTGAGGTAAATCTTTAATGATGATGATATTAAAAGGTAGAACATTGTTCTGCATACTATAGGCATGGGTCAGCATGGGATTAATACCCCTATTATAATAGGAACTAGAATGTGCATTACAATATGGATCATTTTACAATTAACATATATTTTTACACCCCACATTTCTGTATGTAAAAGCAGGGATCTGATGTAATATGATAACCTTAAATATAATATCTTCATTATCTGTAAGCAGAAAATCAGATCAGATCAAAATAAAGGCTGGAAAACATGAAATATGATAACAGGTCTGTAGGTAATTCATCTTTAAGGTGCATTACACAAAAAATGTATTACGACTTGAAACCGGTGAAACCCAAGATGACCAAAGACGGAAGCTAGCCGTGTAAATTATGGAGCAGCCTACTTGAAGTGGAGGGCTCTGCGGGGGCTTCCTTGGACTGAATCTGGACTTGAAAATTGCTGTAGTCCTCCCAAACAGGTATCTTCATACTTTTATTATGAGACGTGGGATTTTTCACCTTCACCCAGAGTGGGAGGCAAGTTTATCAATGAAGGTTAGAGGCATGATTAGAGGCATGGCTAATACTGCATTCAAACCGGATGCGCTTTAGGCAGCAAAAATGCACCTGCTGCTTGATTTTTGAAGTTTGTACACATTAAGGTCAGATGTGCATCAAGAGCGTCCTTGATGCGATTCAGCCATTGACTTTGCATGTAAACCAGCTGCTTCTGCTGCTTTAATTGCATGCGGTGTGAACGTACCATAACAGTTCAAACTGAGCTGTTCAGCTTGCTCATGGTTAAAAGCTTTGTTGCAGGAGTGGTACTGAACGTTCGTGGCTAACTTAGGTAAGGGGGATTGGCAACATATAAAACAGCGCATTGAGGAACAGGAGTGAAGTGGGCAGCACCACGAATGCACAGATGCGAATCGCTATGGACCAGTAAGAGGGTTATCGCATCCTTGTTGTGTCAGCAGCAGGCGTCCTCAAGATGTCAACAAGTGAGTTACGTTGTAGACCTAGTGTGTGTGAGTGGGTGTCTGGCTGGCTTTATGCAAGTGTGGACGTTATGCAACAGCAGTCACTGTCGCATCCGTGTTAATAACCAAAGCCAGTAAAACTGCATTATGGAAGTCTTGGGGAGGGTTGTCATGTGATGCTTTAAAATAGATTGGTTAATCCACAATGTGTATTCGTCCATCCATCCATCCATTATCTTACACGCTTGTCCCAATTGGGGTCGCGAGGGGTGCTGGTGCCTATCTCCAGCAGTCAATGGGCGAGAGGCGGGGTACACCCTGGACAGGTTGCCAGTAATGTGTATTCGTATAGTGTTTCAAATTTTAGACGCATGCGTTTGACTGTGCTTCTATTTTTTGTGGGGTCGAAGTAGATGTAAAAATGCCAGGGCCAAAAATTGTTCCCAGTCCCAGCCTGGAGCGAGGGCTCCCTGCTGCTAAAGATTTGCACATATAGACCAAGTATTCTTTGCTTTATAAGTGTTTCCTAACAAATGATTACCTTCAGTTTAAAACCTTTTTTGTTATTCAATAATTTCCTTCATGCTCCTATTGCTACCTACCTACAAGTAAACTAGCAGGGTCCACAGCATGCAAAAAAGTAAGATGTGTTGAGTCAAAAAACCGGCTCAAGATCTTTTCTAACCAAGCATGTGAGTTGCTCAAAAAGTCAATTCTGACCAAATCTACATTTAGCATTCTTGTTGCACAAAATTACTAATTTAGTTTTCAAACAATCTGCCTTAGTATGTTACTAGTTAACGCGGTAGATCATTAGTTTGAAAATTCTGTTATCTTAAAAAAGTGAGTGGGAGTAAATTCCTAGCTGTAGCTGCATTTTCTGCCACAAGAAAAAAATGCCAAAAAGGTGACAATGGTGCCATGAAAAAGTGGAGGCTGGCTTCCCTACTTTATCCTACATTGAGACGACAGCAACAGCTGAGCAAGAAAGCTGGTCAGACCACTTCAAAAACAGAACATCAACACTCACAAGGCAAAGGTCAAGGTCAACCAGGAGATTTCAAAAAGACTTGATTAAAGCACACTGCCTCCATGGACTGCAAATAACAATGATAAAGTATATGATTTTTTTCAAATTTTATAAAAGAAAGAAATAAAACAGAAAACTAAAACCAAAAACAAACCCATATGACTACTGTAAATGAAAGAAATAAACAGAACTGATGTTAAATGTTGTTTTGTTCATATTGTTGAAGCATGTGGATTGATTGTAGCCTAACCAAAGGCTTTAAAAACAACTTCATGCATTAAAAGCGTTAAAACGGTGACAGAAGCATCCATTTTCTGATCAATCTGTTCCTGTGACTCCAGATGAGTTTGTGCCTCATCTGTAATACATTTCACACAACCTTTCTGAACCTTGGAATGTATTTATCTAGACTGAGAATGACCCATGCCTATAGTGCAGACACACATCGACTACATTTCCTGGGCATTTTGATTTAAATACATTTTAACTGCATGCAAAATTTTCCAGTTACCATAACTATCAAATGGCATACAGTATGGTTACAAGTTCCTCCCTAGAAGGGGGACAGCACGACACAGTGCTAAACTGTAGCCTGTTCACGGTAACACCGTTGTCTCCAGTTTAGCGATGTCCAGTAGCTCCTTACTGACCGGAGTGACAGTTTTAGCCACTTTTAGGCTCCCGTGGTAACCAGGAGGACTGTGCAGTATGGACGGGGTAGATATGGAGGTGACAATGATGGATGACGTGTTCTTGGAAATTGTCTTTGGTCCAGGTTCCCTTCTCATGCTATCCATCTGTGACATAGAGAGGAGGAAGATTTTGAGTATATTTGTCAGCAGGTGATCAGTGAGGGTTGAATAATTTGAGAAACACCTTAAAGACTAGACAAACCTTCCCAGGGTACAGTACAATCATCACACTTAAGCTAATTTCAACTGTTATGAAATGGTTACAATCAGATCAAGTCATTAAAAACATCTACAGTGCAAAAATGATCTAGAAATAAGTAAAAATGTCTTCAATTATGTATATTAACCCTTACTTGGAGCAGGAAAGTAAGATGTTTACTCTTAAAATAAGATATTTAGATAATATGCACTTGAAATAACAATGCTAATTTTTTTTTTCTTATTTTACATGTAAATTGTCTTGTCCCATTGGCAAAGTGTCTCACTTTTTTAAGAAAATAAAATACTTACTTTAGTTAATTTCTTTTAAGACTAAGGCAGAATTAATGAAATCAACTTACACTTTTACACTGATGGGAAAAATGTAATTGATGTTTGTTTGGTTATAAAATGATGACACAGGATAAGTAGAAGCTGGAAAACATTAATATTCCAGCAAGATTTCTATTTTTTCTAATATAAACACAGCTGAAATATAAAGTAGGAGCCAATTATTGGACAGGCTAGAGGCACCTAACATCCTACCTTATCTCTCTATATTTTTTGTCTTTTTAAAAAGGTTAATTTCTTGGGAACTTAGAGTATTGTCCTGTGGCTGCAAAAACTTTATTCCCCTAGTTGTTAAAAATATTTTATATGGGTTTATAATAAAAATCTAATATAAAGTGTAATGCAATATAATAATATATTGTTTTACTTACGAACCTTTAAAGAACTGATTCTAAACCAAAGCATTTACTTTAATCTATTACACAAAAAGCACAAAAACTTCCATCTTCTGTCACGCTTGTCCCTGCTGGGGTTACGAGGCGTGCTGGTGCCTATCTCAATAGGCAACCTCAATACTCCCCATCTGTTCAGTGATTTCCACAAATTTTGCCTCCTTCACCCCTCTTTCAAACAATCTTTCCTCTCTGTCCAAAATATTTGCATTTTGGTCTTTAAAGGTGTGTCCTTTGTTCTTGAGTTGCAAATATACAGCTGAACCTTGACCACAGTTACTGGCTCTCCTATACACTATAAAAGACTGCAACAGTCCAGAAGAACAAAAAATGTGTAAACATTAAAGTTTAATCAAATAACACTTATCTATATAAATATAAAAATGGCAGAAAATATTTTCCAGAATAATTTGTAGATGATTTGGCTGTTTAAAAACTAGTTTATTTGATATCCATCAATATGAATTAGTGAGTTATTAGTGGATTCTTACACTAGCACGTAGATGACTGGTTGGCTGCCGGTTGATCTCCATCATGCAGATGTCTTCAGGCTCTGTCAGAGTCTGAACAGTAGCAAAAAAAACAGTTTTAGTGCTTTTCCCATTTTAAATGATTTCATATATGGACAGACACATTTTCAGTTGGGGCCATTCGGGACTAGTAGTTTGTCATGTTAAGTGTTTCAACTTGTAGATCCTCACTGACAGCTGATATAAAAGGTCTGACACAAATGCAAATCTTGTCAGTTCTTTTTTTTCAGATTCTGTGCTTTCCTTGATTTGATTCCTTCAATTATACATCTTAGTTAGTAGAGACTTCAAAAGGGATAACAAAAATGATCAGCTGTACAAAGGTATAAGTCAACAAAAGCGTACACAAAACCATCCTTAGTATATAGTTAGCTGGGCAAATCAGTTGGTCTTTTATAAATTGGAAAACTGAAAAAAAAAAAACTGAAAAAAAAAATATATATAAATAAAGCAGTATAACATGTGACAACAACTCTCCTTATGACTGAATTTAAGTTCACTGTTGCAAGAGCCTTTTTCTTTCAATGAACATCCAGACCTGGCTAAAATGTCCCAAAACCTTGAGGGAGAATGGATTATAGTCCAAAGAAATTAAGTTTGGCACCAAATAACACAGCAATCAAACAATAAGACACCAAAGCAAAGTGAAAAAGAGAGGCTGCAGCTTCATCAAACGCCACTGAGGCGACAGTAGTGTCAAGTGCAGGAGTTTGCCCTGCAATCGGAGGGTCGTGGTTCAAGCTGGCTTTCAGTGTCCTGTCCTTGGGCAAGACATTTCACCTGCATTGCCAACTGATAGTGGTCAGAGGGCCTGGTGGCGCTTCTGTCAGTAAAGGGTAGCTGTGGCTACAATGTAGTTTGCCACCATCAGTTTGTGCGTGAATGGATGAATGACGAATGTACAGTAGCGTAAAGCACTTTGGTCAAGTCTCCTGACCTGAAAAATCTCTATACAAGTACAGGCTATTTACCATCGTCTCAAGTTACCCATCTACAGATTTAGCTTTTTTTATTGTGGAGGTGGAAACAACAATCATAAAATATTCTAAATACAACTTTAGTCGTTAAGTCTTTAGCCTGAATCTAACTTGAAAATAGCTGCAGACAAGGTGTCCCAACCACCCAACTGATTTAGAAAATGTTTATATGCCAGGAGGCCACGAACAATAGGGTAAAAAAATGCATCTAGAAACTACCAACATAATAGTAAACTTGGATCAGAAAGTGATTAAACATAATATTATACATGTGTTTGCACACATTTTGTATCTTTTTTATATATTTTTTTCAGTGAAATTGTACATGTTAAATGGGAACTTTAAAGATTTATCATTGTGTTATTTTCTAATGCCAAAAGATACAGGTGTTGTCACAGGAATTAATGGCTAACCCTGTCACACCCGCCGTAGTTAAAAACATTTGTTTTCCAAGTTTAAGCGCACATTTCAAAGTGATTGTGCAATTTATGTGGAGAATAACTGAAGCCAAACCAGCAGGATGAGAATCTCACAAAATGACTTGAAAAGCAACACCAGGTTCTTCATTTCTATATTATTTTGAATTTGCTCCTATACGAACAAACTGGAGATCTACGTTTTTTCATGCATAATGGTCTTATTTATATTTGTGTGTGGAGTCCCATTTATAATGTTACTGAATACTACAGCTGCATACAAACAATTCCCAAACCCCTTCCTCCACTTGTGGTATTTGGGCTGCTAAGCTTAGATCTACATCTTCAGTCTGACAGTGAGTGAATCTCCCCTCATAAACATCGAAGGTGCTTTATATCTCTGCTGACTAAGTTCTGATATCTCTCCTTAAAAGATGACATGTTGGAATTTTGATGCATTGCCATCCATTGGATACATTCATCCTAGATGACCGACAATCGAATAATATTGTAAGCAATTGTATTTAGGTAGAAGAACTAAAATGTTCTAACTGAGAAAAGGTAATTTATCAAATTATCATTAATTAATTTTATACAAGGTGCATCTTAAGGCAGTTTTTAATATTTAACAAAAAGGTTTTTAGGTTCACTTCTCTTTCATTTTGGAAGGCAAGACAAGTTTATTTCCAATGCTCTATAAATGCACTGGTTATTTCAAAGTATATTAAAGGTTTAAAAAAAATAATAAAAGAATTGCAGGGAATCTAAGTGAAGCATAAAAACATGGAATAATGTCAAGAAAAATCAAAACACTAGACTTTCTGGAAATAATGAAGCAATTCTCAGCATCTATCCGAACACTTTTATGTTTTCAGAAAATATTTCAAAAGAGTCAACAGCTTTTAGCACTTCATTTTTTGTCAGCCAGTTGATTACAGAGTGGAGGAGCTCGGAAACACATACTCTGTTAGAAAGCAATTCCCCAGAAATAAGACATTCACAGAAACTATTGGATCTTTGAATATTTTTTTCTACCTTTCTGGCACAGATCAAATTAAATCAAGCTAAAATCAAGCTATTAGCTCATAATCGTCAGTGGGCAGATATTAAGAGGTGGCAATCTTTTAGAGAGAGTTATGAAATCTGACTTTAGTGAAAACAAAACATTCTTTAGATTCATAATCCAAAGCATCGAAACTAACCTGGTCACTGTTTAGTTCTGAAGCTTTATCAAGTTTATACAAACACAAACAGTTGAACGGGAAATGGTGCTTTGCTTTTTAGTGCAAATAACTTCCTTATTTCGAGTGAGATTTAGCTTGGTAGTTTGAAAAAAGTAAGAAAAACAGAGTTAGCTCCCCTATGCTTGCTTCAAGAAAAGCATCCCCACATTATGATGCCTCCACCCCCTTGTTTCAAGGTGGGGTTGTTGTGTTAAAGGTCATACACACCAACTGTTTCTCTTCGCATATAGCATTTTGAATGCGGACCAAAAAGCTAAAGTTAATCACAATTATTGTTTTTGCCTTTCTCCATTTTATTTTATTTTTTCATCTTGTGATCAGTTTCCGATATTTCTGCCTGTAGGCTAATTGTTTTTTTTAATAAAACAAAACAGATAAAGAATTCATCTAAGTAGATAGGTTTTTATCATAGGCAACATATTTAATCTTTTTCCCAAAAATATTAAGGAAGGTAGGTCTTAAAATGTACATTTACTTACAATAGCATAGAAACCCATTTAATGCAGATATATATAGCTGGTCACGTTGTTAAACATATACTGTAAATATTATTAAACACACAATTATGTATACATATAAATAATTATACATATATTAACAATCAGTCTTGAAGAATCAATCTCTTAAACCTGAACATTTTCCTCACTAATGCAAAAAAATAAAAAAACAAAAACCTACTGTTGAATATTTAAAGGAGAAAACAGGTTTCCATGACAGGCCTTCATAAGGTAATTAAAACTGTCTTGTAATTCACATCCATCTTGTGAGGTTCAGTAACGTCAGCGGACTCCGTGGTCTGCACAGACCCCGTACAGACTTTTCTCACTCCTCTGTTCCAAAGTCAGAACATTTACCTGATTTATTAATAAGACTTAAAATTTGATCCAATTTTTTTCTGCAGATGGCATTCTTCAGACGTCATTCTTAAAATGTTTACAGTCCTTAGTTGTCAAACCAAAAACTGAACCTTATATGTAGAACCTGTAGAATTTGTCACAATCTGGATTATGAACTTTCAAATAAAAAATATATATACCGGTACTTGTAATTTATGTCGAGATTAAGAACGTCCTCATCTGTCAGCTGCTGCCATATGCTGAAACATCATACCACATCATGCAAACTGTGGATTAACACAGAAAGTCCCAGATTACTGGATTAGCGTTCAGGCGCTCTGTAATGGACTCCTTGGTAAACCTGACCTGCATTGCAGCCAGTCTGTTTGTGAGAGTTTGCGTGTTATAATATAAATAGGTTACTAGTGTTTTTTCTTTTCTGCCAACAAAGATGATTATAGGGGATGAAAATACTCTATATACATAGTGGCCCACATTTAATGACCTAACTCTTTGCAGAAGTGCAGCATCACAGGTTTTATCACACCAGTTTCCGTGCCTGAGAATGATTTGTTAAACAAAACAAAAAAATCAGAGGCTCTGCTTTTTTCGTTAAAGAATTCGCTTCAATATTTGGGCTAATAAAGAAATTTCTTTTGTTAAAACAACATGAAAATATGGCTAAAAAGTGAAAGGTTAATAGCCATTTTTGTGTTAATGTGCTTAGACAATTATTAGGATTGGGTTGTTGGGTTGGCAGTTTCTGTACTCATTGTAGATAGTAGGTGCGTTTCCATTACAAATGTGCACCTGTCTTCGTCTTTTTACAAGGCAGTAAGGTGCAGATCATGTGATGTAGAAAAAGTGTTTCGATTGCAGTTTTGCGAATTGTATGAATGTTGAGGCGCCAAAAATCACCTCATGGAAGTGGAAGAACTTTTTAGCAAAAGATAAGAATATTTTTTGCAATGTTTGCATTTAGCAAATCTATTTTTGTTATTACAATTTGTGCAAATTGATTGTTAATGGAAATGCAGCTTATTTGTCTCCTCAGGTCTGAAATCAGCCAGCTTAGTCTGTCACCAGCAAGTTCTGTCTTCATCTTCCTCCTCCAGCCTGCAGCCAGTCTCTTTGGCCTGTTACAAACTGGTTCAGTTATCACCTGCTAACTCAAACTAGGCAACAGTTCACCTGCCTGCATTCACGGACATTCATAAACTCTTTCAAAAAACCTTTGAAACACACTCTGCGTCTTGCTGAATCCTGGGATCTCAGATCATTTTGTAAGTCTGCTTCTTTACAGGAACCATCAAATTATGTATAATAAAATAGTCAAACTGTCATTATATTTTGAGGACTAAGAATAGGAGTTAAAGACCTAAAACAATATATATTAGGTTTATGATCATCCAGGACCCTGAATTCTGATGAATGGAGCTTCCTCTATTGGATTCTTTAAACTTCCTCAGAGAAACCTCTCTAATGTTTGCTCTCTTTAGATGAAGGGAACAAACAATAGTGTGGCTGCTCCTATACAGTAGATCAAAATATTTCACGTGTCATGATGGTTGAATTAGACCAGGATGCTCCTTGAATTAAATTCTTTCAAGCTTTCCTTGGCATCTCCTACTTGAGGCAGAAGCATGAACAGACCCTGCAGCAGAGAGAATAGATGTAGTCCGGTCTTGGAGTCTCCTATAAGGAGCTGGATAGTGTCAAAGGGATGAGGATTTTTTTGGTTTTTCGGCTGGAACTTTCCCCCCTCGTTCAACGTCTACATACTGAGAACTATTTTTATATCATTAATAACAGATTCATTCTGGTGGACAGCTTTTTGGACTTAATTCTTCTCAACATGAAACCGTTATGAATTTTTTTCGCAAGGGCACATTTCAGCAAATGTCATAAGGAACAAGGCAGGGTGAAAATGTTTATTAAAAACAAAAATAAAGAAGCAAGTAATGTCAAAATTAAAAATATCTTTATGACTAACTACTCTAATGCTATTATTTGCATAAGCCGGAATGCACATAGAATATTAATGCTGTATTAGATCATGGATCAGGGATGAGCCTTGCCCCAAAAATGTAGATCTAGGCCCTGCTGGCAATCACATCTGTTGAATAACACACTGAAAATGGGTCAGAATACAGTCATTGAAGGGATATTCTGGTTTGTTGGGAGTACTTATGAGTTTGGCATGACAAAGCATTGGGGATTTCTGACCAGGCACGGGCATTTAAACAAGGATATAAAAATAGTTTGGTGCTAAAAGGAAACATCCTTCACCTTCTGAACTTCTTGTAGTAAATCCCGCTGATACCCCAAACTGTGAGTGCATTGACCAGCACCTACAGCAGGTGAGATCCACTTTAGCTAGCTTCCTTCAAACTAACAACTATATTACCCTCCCATGTGTTGGAAACAGATGTCCCCTGCTGATGACCTTTCGCTGGGTAACGGTGGATAAAAATGCATGTGTCCAGACCTGCTGAGTTGACCCTTACTGCTGGGGCTATGTGGTATTTTGGAGTTTGCTTTTGTCTCTCACCTGCACCCCTTGTTGCAGTGGATGATTTAGTGTTTCTGACAGCTTAAGACACATTCACACTTTGGGCCTTGTAACTCTGGTGAGTCTAACCAAAGCCCCAGCTGTCTAACCCACCTCTGACCTTCTACTTTTGAAACACTAACAGGCCTACAGGGGTTTTTCTGTTTGTTTTACACTTTTTAAGCAATTCTGTAATCTGGATAATTTCATGGTTTATTAATCTCCACTCAAATGTTACACAAAAACAATTCTTGACTTTTTGTGCCTTTATATTTGTCCAACTTCATATGTTGTTTCACCTAATAATAACACTGCACTTTATAAAAGTGTTAGGACATGTACAACTGAAAGCTTTCCATTAACAACAAGATGTAACTTCTGCAAACATCACCTTCTATCATCTCAGACTGTAGCACAAGGTAAGTTATATGAAATAAAGCAAATCTAGGCTGAGAAAGTTCTTTCATTTTAAAGTACTTTGTGGCATGAGAGTTACTATTCATACTGTACATAATCATAGATGCCAATTATACTCCGAAGTGGAACAAAAGAGATGACTGTTGACTGTTTCATAAACATAACAGCAGTGACCTGATATTTGTATGATTTAATCTCATGCTAAGGTATGGCAGTGCTCTATATTACTACTATTATAACAGATTTATTTTCTTTCCCACCTTTGAGTGGATGATCTGGAGGGAGATTAGACCTTGACTTCTCCGTAGAGATGTCTCAAAAGAGCTTGCGATAATAAAACAGCACAATATCTCTGAAGAAAGATAGGTCTGCCTCACAAAACACTTCTCATTTGCTGTTAGCATATGATCTACCAATTAGGTGTGAGTGAAAGATATTCTTATTGATATAAAAGTGGGTGCATAAAGCTTGATATCCTCTATCAATATCTATGACTCATTTAGGAGCAGGAAACAACACTTAGTGTGATGCTGCTCTTGGTAGAGTTAGATAAAGCCTTAACAGGTTTTATGCTTTCTTTGCAGAGATATTTTAGTAATCTATTAGATGAAAAGAAATGGCGAAAGAATAAACTTAGAAGAAACAATCAATTTGGAAACACTTAAAATTGGAGATAGATAGATTAGCCAACCAATATTTCAGACCCATTTCTTCTTGCTTCAGCATCGGCCAGTACCTGCATGCACTCGGAAATCCATTAGTGCATTCAGCTGCCACGTCTTTAGATCACTTGAAATGCATGCACTGCAGCTATCTGAATTTGCTATCCATTTTGATGTTTTGTTAGATTTCTTAATAAATGTTTAGTTTTGGTTTAAATTGAGACTTGCGTAACAGGGATTAAAAACCCCTGCATCGGTTGATCTCTACTCTGCTACCCACCTACAGTTAGCGACTGTTTTTGTTTTTTCTATTCAGTCCTGCAGGAGATATTTCCCTGTTGTTTATTTATTTAATTTTTTTTAATTTATCCTTTATTTAACCAGGTAATACCCATTGAGATTAAAAATCTCTTTTGCAAGGGAAACCTGGTAGAGGTATCTAATATATGTATCAAATTTGGTCCTCCAGCAGAGAGCAGAGGGACACTTTTTAAATCATAAAGTGAGATTTTGAGTAACCGATTATTCTCTTTAAAACAAAAAAATAAAATAATGCCTTTATTATCTACTTAAATACCGACTCATTGGTATCGTTTTAATTTACAAATTAAATACTGTATATGATGTACATTAGTATAATTTTAAACCTCAGCAACTTTTATTGAACATTTCATTTATCGATATAATTTTTGAATACAAGACAAATGTTTTGCTCAAACCAGCAACCTTTACTACCAAAGACAACACGGCCAAAGAAGAGCTCTAACTAACATTACTTTATAATTTCACAAAACTAGACATGATCTACTTAAGTTAACCAAGACTTGGATACTAGAACAGTGATTTTAGATCTTTAATTTAGGAAAACTAATTCAACTTCAACAGAATGAAGAACTGGGAAAACCTTTTATGAAAACAACCCTAAATCGCATATACTGAATAAGATCCAAAAAAATCCAATGAAACCATAATTATAGACACTTTTGAAATTGTGTTTGGAATAGTGTTGACATGGATAATTCCCCCGTACTCACAGTGAGCTGTGATAGATGACAAATTGCCGAGTCATTGGGGTGGAGGGCAGCAGTTCTCTCAATCTCTCTGTGAGTGCTGCGATCACTCACCTTTGATCTCTGGCTGGTATGGCGAAACTGTTTGACATCAGCAGACAAGTGACGACTGACAGGAGTCCGAGATGAGCAGTCCTCCTCGGTGTCCGAGAAGTGCGCCTGCAACGACACGAAACCAAAAATCAGTGACTCCTACAAGGTTTCTGTCGTGGATGGAAGAGTGAGACAGAGACATACCAGATTAGACATGAGGTACACTCACTGATTCGCTCTCAGACTGGGAAGAGTTGTGGTGCCCGCCGGTGCCTTTACACTCTGATTGACTGGTCAATGTAGATCGTCGTGTGGACTGGAGGCTGCTGCTGCTGTAACGGTCTCTGCCAGGGATGCAGAGCAGCACACCCAGGTATGGTACATATCTGCTGATGGCTGATCTGAGAAAGAATGAAACCCACGTGAGCAGACTTTACTGTAAGGATTTAAAAGTCCTTACAAGGCAGAAATAGAAGTACCAAAATTCAACAATACAACAATTAAATACATAAATTAACACCATAAATCAATAATGCAAAGTATTTATTTTTGATAATTCCAAAAATGTATAAAAAATTATGTTAAAAATTGACATTTCTTATCACAGCCACAGTTTTACATCTATTTACTTGGGATTATATAACAAAATAATACAAAGTAATCCATTACTGTGAAGCAGTAGGCACATTTTTTAAGAACATGAAACATTATTTGCACTTTATTCTAGCAATGATACATTTCATTGGATTTTGTTCTTAAAACTTACTTTTAATATTTTCTTCACTTTTATTCCATTACAACATCAACATACATAAATGCATTTCAATATATAAAGAAAAGCTGTTCTTGTATAAAGTGAAAAACTATACCAGAAAAACATGTTGAAATGCATCATCCAGTTTCGGACATGGTATAATGGGCTTAAAATTGTAGCATTTATTTGGATATGGTTAAATCTGACAAGAAAAATGACTTATAAATCCATTTAATTATTTGTTGGTAATAGATAAGTTTTAATGCTGCATCATTGCAGCCCAAACACTGCAAACAAAAATAAGTCTACAAAAAAAAACAACCTGAAAGTAATTATATACATATATATCTTCCAAAGTCAGCCTGTTTTAACAATTCAAGCTAAATGTCTGCCTTTAAATATTGTAGCAACTTGTTCAGTAATGGCAGATGAATTGTACCAAACGTGAAATTTTTGTAATGAAGCTTAAGCGAAAATTCAATCTGGAAGACTTATCAGCTTCACCTGAAGCACCTGTGATGTTTATTGCACCTCCGGCAAAGACTATTAAGCCAATCATCTTCCATGAGCTCCTTCATTTGGCTCCTTGCCCAGCCGAATTCCCTCATACAAGCAAACTTTGACCCACCTCACTCTCAGACTATTCTCAGTCCCAATCACCCTCTGGCTTATTTCACCACCAGTGTCCCGGCTCCGGGGGAAGACTACTCTAATCCTGGATTACCCGACGAAATGTCAATTCTTAGCATCAAAGAATTCTGCAGGGTCCCGAGCGGCAAAGATCTTATTTAATTTATGTCAGAATCTGTACATCTGCTTCTGACCAGTCAGTGTCTGCAGACGGCGGCTCACACTGAGCCTGGTTCTGCTGGAGGTTTCTTCCTGCTCGGTGTGAGGGATTGAAGAGAGTCAACGAGTCCTTGCAATCAGTTGGTTTTTTTCTTAGATATAAATATTTTTTTGTTTTTTTTTTTAAATCGTATTTAAATATGTCAATTTTTCTCAGATTCTCCAGCTCTTGAACAAACTTGAAAAGGCCTAGCCACAATCAAAACGATGCTGGGACAGCTTAACTCAGTTTGGTTTCTTTATGTCTTTTGTCTTGATTCAGACAAATGTCACATGCACGCACGTTGATAATCTCCAAAGATAAAATGCACACCAGAAAATACAATGAATTCTCTTGAATTTTTCACATTTCCAACCTGCTTTCAAAACTTAACTGTAAATGAAATCAACAAACAATAAATAGCAATCACTACATACCATGATGTCTATAATCTCAAATACCTAAGACAAACTGTCAAACAAAATTTCCTTTTGTATTACTGCACAAAATATGAATCATATAAAATATTTTTTGCTGTCCATTTGAATACACAAATGTTCTCACCATCTCCTAGCAGTGGTGTCTTTTGTTGTTGCTTGGAGTTGGAGTTCTTTGCTTGTGCCATCCTTCTATGAAACCCAGGTGAGCAGCATTATTTCTAACTTAGGAAAATAGTCAAGGAGCGCTTGATTTTATGTTAAAAGCATTCCAGGTGGGTGGACATTAGAGACTGTCAACCTTTCCTGGTTTAACTTGGCAATGTATTTAATTATTTCCTCCTGCTGCTATCATTATACTTTAAAGCCATGGTAGCCATATTGATTTTTGAGATCATGTTTGGTGAGATATTTCCCACATAACTCTAACTTCAGAATTTTTTAACATTGCATTTTCATCACAATACAACCCTCAAACAAATACACCTTCAATTGACATAGCAGTTTGTTTGTTTTTTAATGATAAAATAGCAAACAAAGGAAAAAAAAAAACAAAACTAACAAATACAAAATTTCATTTTTTTTATTTGCACCCCTTCTATAATACAACACCTGCATGTGTATCCTACCTGTATTTTGGATGTGTGATGGCGTATATAATGGGGTTGTGGATAGCTGAAGCTTTGGCGATCACAGCTGGAACAGAATTCATGTAGGGTGTCAACATGTCGGCGTACCTGAGGTAGAAACAGATGAGTTACATGAGGTGACAGGGAGAAAAATGAGAGAAGGAAATGAGCTCTTTGTGATTGATGGAGCTTAATAAATGGAATATTCTAGAACAAAGAGACCTAAAACCTGAATTTAGCACAATGATGGAAATCAGGTTCTATTTCTATATGTGTAATACCTATATGGGCTCTCTTGTGTTCACTAGTAAATCTTCTGTTATTCTGACCTAAACACATCTCAATAGAAACCTGTTTTACAGACACCCACTGCACTTTTGTGCACTTTTTTGCATTTACTTACTTTGCTCATATTTATTTTGTTAAGAATTTTTGTTATTATTTCTTAAGACCAAAAAATATTTTGCAGTGCTGAATTTAAAATTTTAAACAGAGGCTAGAAAAAGAGGGATTTACACCACAGCTAGGCTGGAGCTTAAAAAATGAATTTCTTAAAATTAAATAAACATAAATCTGACCAATTCTTAGGATCTTTTTTTATGGGTTTTTTGCTGTTATTAGTTAAAACAAACATAATTACCGTAGAATTTATGTGTATGTAATCATTTAACCCTATAATGCCAAATGTATCTTATTTGATCTGACACCTTTTGCATAATTTAATGGTAAAAACTTTGCTCAATATTCTATTGTACACAATCAGATATACCTGATAACAGCCAGAAGACTACACAAAAAATAATCTTGACTTATCGCAGAGTAATAAATTATTAATATCAAAAATGTATTTCTGTTTTTTCTTTTTACATATTTTGTTAAAAGGGCAAATAAAGAATTCAAACCAAAGAAAAAGATTTTTCTGTTTTGTTTTATTCTTGGATCAGGCTTTAAAGGGTTAACTGCTTCTGTTTTTGATATCCCAAGATGGGACAACAAAGGAATGTACAGTAGTAAAATGTGAAAGAATAACTGAATGGAAAGCTCTGTAAATATGTCCATGTTTATTGGAACATTTCTTTTTATCAGGAGAAAGTCCTTGCACAGACGCCATGGAGGTAGTTTTGTGACAGAACGGCTGGGAAACTGTCAGAAATAAAAGGGGAATATGATCAAACTGAAATTAGATTTTCTAAATTTTGACATTTACGAGCCTTCAGAACTCCTGGACACCAAAGGGCAGAATTTATTTAAAGTGACAGGATATTAACAGTTTCCTGTAGGGGGATTTTATCCTGCTGGTGCTGTAAGTTTTACACTTTTATCTCAAAATTCTACTATTTAATACAATTTAAAACTTGTCAGGCATAGGCTGCACATTACATTTTTATTTTGTGAGGAAAGAAATCAAAATATAAAACTAGAAAAAGCTGTTTCGGAGAAACATCAAAGTGGGAATGCTTTTGCTGAATGAAAAAAGCTGAAATTACCTCAAGAACATATGAAAATGAGATAGGAAGTCATCAGAAAATTCAAACTGCAGAAAACAATTGAATCATCTGAAGATTTTGTAGGGTAGAATCATTTGGCAGTAAAATGGCAGAAACAAACTCATCTTAAAAGCTGCACAGCCAAACCATACATGATATCAAAAAATGTCTTGAATGTGGGCACTAGAAGGGTCTTAATATAATGTCTCCCAAGTTTCTAGAAAAATGTATAAAGAAATTTTGAAGGGGGGTTTACCTACTTTCCAGAAACATGTCAGGCGTGTTATGAATTAGCAGCAAACAGAAAAAGCTTAATTCCTGTCCAGAAACAGAGCAGAATGAAGCCAAAGTTCACAACATAGGCTGAAAAGTATGAAATTAGCTGAAGTAGAAAAGAAATTACAAAGAAAAACTTTAATCTTATCTGGTTGAAGAAAAAATTAGTAGCTTAAGAATTGGAAGTAAAATATTGAGGACGATGGTATTGAATAAGTATTAACATTTTGAAATCATATGTGGAAATGTCAAGACTTGGCAAAACAACTGGAAAATTATTTAAAATGTGTCGGTTGATCAGCATAAAGAAAACAGTGTCATCCTTAGAGGATTGAAAATCTACAAACCTATGTGCAAGACTGACCATGAGAAGCAGAGGAAGGACAGAGAGAGAAGCTTATAGAAAGAGAGCTAATACCACTTTAAGGAGCTGAATTTATAAAAAAAAATTGAACCTGCATGTTACGAGCCGCTGTGGTAATGAAAGCACCGTTGGCAGGCTTAGGCTGCATGTTACAAGGTTAGCAGATGCTTTATTACAGTATAAATTTTAGAACCTGATTAAGAAATATGCACTGAGGTGTGTGGTCAACAGGCCTTGGTAGTGTAATTTGAAGAAATTGGTTGAGTTTGGGTCATAGCTACAAGCCATATGGCACAATGAATGAGTGTGCGTAAGGAAGAGGCTTTTATTTTGTAGGTTCCCTTTAGTCTTATTTTGAAAGTCTATCATGGATGTGTGTCAAGGGAAGGGTCATGCCCAGCAGTGATATAGAATCCATTTCCAAATATGAAATCACTGGTTTTCCATGTTATTGGGTGAATAGATGCTGTATTAGAGCGTAAATGGGAGACTTTTATTGTGAAATTTGCTCCTGGGTATGTTTTGCAAAGGTCCCTAGAGTCTAATAGTAACAAGCTGGTGGAGTTTGGGTCATAATGCTGAGCCATTTGCATCAATTAATACACGAGTATAATATAGAGGCTTTTATTTTGTAGGGTAACTGAAGTCTTATTTTGAAAGTCTAGCAGGGTTGTGTGTTGAGAAAAGGGTCAGACCCAGCAGTGATACTTGATGACTTTCCAATCGTTAAATTACTCTTTTCCCTTGTTATTAGGGCAGTAGATAAAGTGGCAATGGGAGGCTTTTATTTTGAAATTTTCTGTGGGGTGTGTTTTGAAAACCCCCTAGAGTCTCATTTTTAAAAAAGTGGTTGAGTTTGGGTCATAATGTTGAGCCATATGCTGGGAAAAAAATATGAGTTTAATGTAGGGGCTTTTATTTTGAAGTGTCCCCGGAGTCTTATTTTGAAAGTCTATCAGGGTTGCGTGTGAAGGGAAGGGTCATGGCCAGTAGTCATATTGTATCCACTTCCTAATGTTAAATCAGTGTTGTCTCCCTCCATTAGATTAAAATGTGCTGTTTAAAGTGGTGGAGGTAAAATCTCTTTGAAGCACGGTTACCTTGACGACGTTAACGAGCCTGTCAGTGACAGAGACACATGCGCATCACTTTCGTTCCTTCGTTCTCAGGCTTTTTTGAATGGGAATATCAGCTCCGAACAAACAAGTGCTGAAGACAAACCGTAAATGCTATCTAAAAAATTCTTTCAGTCTAAGCGACAGCTATCCTTTGTCTCCGATTGGGGTAACTTTCATGGATGTACCCATTCACAACCTTAATGGGAAGGAGGAATAAAAAGGTTTGAGAAATCCTGCTGGTCTCATTGAATAACATGCAGCCCAATGGTAGAGCAGAACTCTCAAAAGCAAAACTTTCCCTCCGAACAAACGAGCAGTGAGCCAAAACCGTATTAGGTATTCAAAAAGTTATTTCACCGTGAGCGTCAGCCATCTTTGGACTACAACTGGTGTAACTTTCATATTTCTACAATATTTGGTCTAGGCGTGGTGACGATGTAAAAAAGTGTATAATTGTCAAAATCTTGATTTTGGGGTTCGGACAGATTTGTTACCCCCGAACAAACCTTTTTCCTAGCTAAACGATAAAAGATATCGACACACTTCCTTCAATGTGAGTGCTAGGAAGGTCTGAGGAACAACTTCCACAAGGCTCGTGTTGCTACGTCAAACGGTTCCCGAATGGGAACGATACGAAAAAGTCTGTTTTTTTTTATTTTCAGTTTGGATTTTCAGAGAGCTCTCATTGGATTTCTATTGGAGAAGTGTGGACTTCTTCGTGGTCTTGGCCAAACTGTCGGAAAACCGTAAATGCCACACAGATGAGGGTTACATTTCCTGAATCCTGACAAAAATCCCTACGTCTTGATGTAAAATTTATCTAGATAGGGTAAAAAATGAGCGAGTGAGTTGAAGCTGTTCGGCATGAGTGAAATGTTTGAAAACGCTAGAGTGGCACACTCTAGCAGCTGAACATTCCGTCCATAGACTTCCATTATAAATTTGAAAATTTGTAAAAATTGTTTAAAAGTTTGAAGCTTCACTGAAGCAAAACTGTAAAAGTTAGCTGAAAGCCGAGTTAAACAGTAATAGATAGCAGAAAGATACGGAAACATTTTAAAAGTTGAATGGTGTTTCTAGCTGAAAGTATGCTGAAGTAGTTAAAGGGCAAAGTAGCTGAAGATTTAGTGGAATTTTTGAAGTTTTACATGCATTTCAATGGGGCCAAAAATCGCAGAAAAAGCTGAATATCGCAAAAACTACGAACAATATCTTTACCAAAAGATATAGCAGAATTCTCCTGAACAAGCTGAACGTTTTGATACCAAATTTGTTTAAATCGGCTGAAAACTGTTGAACTAGTTAAACGAAGAAAAACCTACGGAATAATAATAAATATAAACAGAAAAACAATAAGTGGGAATGCATAAGCATTGATAAGAAAGCAAAATATTTTAAACCTTCTAAATTATATATGATAGTACCTATTATGAAAATATAATTTTATTTCTATAATTATGAGCAAGTTTTAAGAAAAATCAAATATTCACCTTAAACACAACTTTTGTATTGACTGGGAACCAGGCTAATAAATAATGTAACTAAATGATCTATAATATAATCTGACAGGGCACCGAAGAGCTGGAAAAATTATATTTTCTGTGCAGCTTTAATACCTTAAAATAATCTATAAGAAATTATGTTTTGTTGAAATGAGAGGTTTATGTAATGTAATGATAAAGATAAAAAGAATGGTGCCTTAAATCCCAAAAATATGCACCCAAACTGCCTAAAATTTATTTTAATATCTTTTGACCGACATAGCCAACTGTCTTCAGTAACAGTCTGTGGGACAATGCATAAAGGACCTTTGCCTCAAGCAGACATTTTACATCTTAAATTAATCTCTAGACTGTTCTATTATGAATGAAACCCACCACAAATATAGTGCTTCACTGAGTTTAAGTCCATGTGGGCAATTTCAAACCCTGCTAGATGGTAAATAATTTCTCTTTAGCCATTTGGGCACTTACCCTGCAAATGCGGTCAGGGCTGCACAAGAGTAAGGTGCCCAGGAGATGACAAACAGCAAGATGACAATTAAGGCGATTTTTGCCATCTTCCATTCACTCCTCATTTTATGGAACTTCTTCGCAGAGTCTCTTTTCCCTATGCAGTTGATCTTTGTTATCGCTCTGCCAACCATAGATACAACCTTTATAGATACAGTTTTTTGCAATCCAAGATTTAAAAAAAAAACAAGCAAACAAACAGAGAAACTCAAGCTCAATGGCAAACAACAGGAACTCCAACAAGAGATTATCTCTGTGTGAATATATTGAGGTTGAGTATGAAAACATACGTGCAAAGCTGTGCATGTACCAACCGTGTTGTGTGTCGGATGGCTCTGAAAATGCCGCAGTAGCAGAAGATGATGATAAAAAGAGGAATAAAGAAAACAAAAGTGAAGAGTAACATAGTGTAGGAGCGCACGGAAGGGGTGAAGGTCATGTAGTCCCAGGAGCAAGAAGTCATTAGACCCTCTGGGACGTAGGCACCTGTGGGAGAACATACACTATTTTTGTTATTGCGATTACATGGCAGTAATTTTATATTAAAGGAGTCAGAGCCCCTTTTCTTTAATTAACCTGAGCTTAAACTAAACACAAATCCACACACTCAACACTGATTTTTATAACTTAAACTACTTGTTTAGGGTTGGGTTTGCTATACTTATGGTGAGGAAGCAAAAGCACAATTTAAGTTTATTTAATATATATTTACATATAGATGTCATATTCAAAGAGCTTCCTTGCTGTCAAATGTATAAGAATAGCTTAGCATTATAAAATCTCTTCAAAAGGTTTGAATAAAAAAATAAAATGTCAAATTATTGCAGAATCAAAGGGCAAAGCTTTGTGAAATAACTTAATACGAGGTTTATTCTTTTGGATATAACTGACCAATGGATTCTCTAGAATGAGTCTTAGACAAACACAAACATTTGGTGAAACCTGATAGTCACCTTTACTTGTGCCACAGTGAAAGGAATATGTTTTTTCAGTGGAAGTAGGCTTTTTACTGTGCTATGGTTTATCAGGTGAACCTGTCGTTGTCTAAAAGGTTGTTCTATACATTTAAAACTCCTTAGCACTACAAATGGTATTGGCAGATATACTATTGACTGATGTTAAGAATTCAATGCTGGATATATTCACTGTCAGAAATGTAGTTAAAAGGAAATCAGAGACTTTAATAAAAATAACCCAGACTACAAAATAGTGTGAGAAAACAGTCCAGCCAGCGTATAGCAGAGGGCTGAATAAAGTGTAGCAAAAGGCCTCCGTATTATTCACCAGAACCCCGCCCCCTTCTTTCTCTCTGTAAGGCTGTATGTCACAGACACACATGATAGGGTGTGCACTTAGTAAACCCCATATAAGCTATAAAATAAAGTGAGAAAAGCAGTAAAGAAAAAGGTAGAGAGAGGGAGAAATTAAAAAAAGAAAGAATTGGCTGCAAACGGCTGTACAATAATGTTGAAGTACAGGTAGGACATATACACTAGTGGAAAAAGTGAAAGTCTTTCAAGGTTAAGAATATATTTGGTGTAATATGAACATTGAGCTGCATATAGAGTCAGTTAGTGATTATGAATTGATGGAAATTGTGGGTGTTTTTTGTGCTTTTTTTAAACACAGGTGGAAAAGATAGATTTAGTACAGTGACGACCAGTGATATGGCTGACAGATCTGCTGTCAGGAAGATAGTGCACAGCAGCAGTGAAGTGTCAGAGCTGGAACCTGCCTGGTACACTTCTAGAGTACAACGCTTCCTGTATAACCATTGAGATCAGCATTACCAAACACATATCTAAATGACATTTCTTTGCCTGAGCCCAGGAAAATATATTAGAGTAAAACAGGTCATCATAAGAGCTTTAACAAACTTAAGAACTGGACAAAAAATAATAATAATCAAGTCAAAAAAAAAAAGAAAATGAATGAAAAACCTTATCCACACATGCTATTTATCACATAAAGTAAATTTAGAAGAAAATTGTAAGTTTTGCACATAGAAGAAAGACAGACAGATGTGTTAAATACTAGGATAGAGCCAATACTCAGCTCTGTCCAAGGTGGGGGAGAAGGATGATGGGGGTTTAATTGAAGTCCAAGTTTTGACAAAGCTTCAGTAAAAACTTGCTGTTTTACTTCATAGAATGTGTAGCTTCATCCCTGGCCTCATAGGCAGTACTGTGTATGGTGTGGGTTAGAGATAATGATGATATTAGTGACTGGAAGCATCTTTTTGCTGCTTCTTAAACTAGAGGAAGTGATGTCCTGATTAAGTTTTTTGGCAATGCTTTTAGAATAGTTTTTACTGCACTTATTATCTTTCAAACTGTACAAATTTAAAATCTTAATTTTAATTGGTTAATTGCTTTGTGAAAAAAGGAATCTAGTGACTAGAGTTTATAGCCTCTTGTGGTGGTTATGAACGTTATGGATCTAAAAATCTTAAGAGTAAGAGGTACATAGCCACGTTATTTGACATTTTTTCTGCTCATTCTCGTCACATACATTGTTTTTTTGCTGAATCTGTTGGGGATAAAACCTTTTGTGTATATTTACCACATATCTATCAAGATTACGTTATGCGTACGATTCCTGAACAACTAAAGCGATGGAGGCAAGCTAGTGTAGAACTTTCAGTGTAGGTGGAGAAAACTCCAAGATCAAGCGTAAAAAGGACAAAAATTGTTTGATTCAAAGAAGGATAAAACTTGAGTTGTCTTGGGAAAATAGTATGTTGCATTACACCCGAAAAAAAAATGGACAATTAACAGGTTTCTGCAGCAGTTGATTGCAGTGGAGGATCCCTAATTTTTAATCCGGTGTGCTGGCATAGAGACATATCTAAAACATGGAGGGCAGGGGTTCCTGAGGACCAGGGTTGGGAACCACTGAATAATGTAGCTGCGTCAAAGGTCATTATCTGGCTCTCTGGTAGTTCAGCAGTACTGCCAATAGATGGTGCCATGTCTGTTTATGGTGACTCATTGCACCTGGAGCTGGGGTTCTATTTAGGCTCAAAAAGACAATTAAAAAACTGTCAGGACAGACACTTGGAGTATATGTTCTTGTTTTATCCAATGAACTGTGTTTGTTATTTCTTTTCTGGTATGGGCATATACCAAAATTACTCAAATATGTTTAAGGTAATGATCTACTGTACACTCTGAAGAGAATACACAGGGAATACTGTTTTTATAGTACTGGCTGTTTGAACGCCACTAGTAATTGATGCTTAAACAATTTATATATATAATTGTAAAAATGCTGTTGCTGATATAATTACTTAGATTTAAAAATGTATAGAACAAAATGCCAAGGGAGTATTACTGCTGATCCTTCCTCCCATCAGCTGTTAGACTTTATAGCCATTATTGCTCCAAACCAGCCTCACAGAGATTTGTACAACTATTCTGTCTTTGACTTTATTGTGGCAAAACTTGAACACTTTATCAGATTTTATAGATGAAATGTGAATAACCTAAAATCTGAATAAAAAGCTTTACAGAAACCAGAGACAAATCTGAAATTTGCCAAAAAAGTTATGATTTTTATTTTGTGTTAAGCTCAGGAATCTGGTGCCTATCAGGGTCAAGAATACCAAAAAAAAAAAAAAAAAAAAAAACTTGCTCAGAGAAAAGCAGTGAAGCCTTAAAAATCTCAAGGCTGGAACAGAATACCAGGAGTAACTTTTTTTTTTTTTTATGTGAAAACAACAACAACAAAAAAGAAAAATCTAAGCTTTTTTATATTTACAGTTATACTCACTCCAGCCAAAGAAGGGTGGGAGGCTCCAGCCCATGGAGTAGACCCAGGCAACAGCGACAAAGCACAGAGCTTTTTTGTGAGACATTGCTCCAAGAGAGGCCAGAGGCCTGGTGATGACAACATATCGGTCCACTGCAATCACCATCAGTGTCATCATGCTGCAAATACCAAACAGTGCTCCACAGAAAGCATATAGTTCACACCCTGGGGGAGGAGAGATGATAGAGGAAGACAACAGAAGAGGAACGGATAAGCTGAGATATTTACAGGGAAACTACAATGTGATCACAGTCATAATCTTTAATTGTTTTAAAAATGTCTTTGTTGTCATATGATGCTCTTTCTATCAACTTGTGTTAATATTTATGTTGGTTTTTTTTAAACAGCACCTATTACTAACAGTTGATTTGTTTTTTTGCTCAGCAGATTTTAGTTATCCAGGAACTCCCCTTAATTTAGTAGCTTTTAATCCATCAGTGCAGTTGCAGTGGGAAATTTACCACGCTGTGCAGAAGCAATAGCATTTCCAGGTTAGTAAAATTTTAAAACTAAACTAGTCTAAAAGTAACAAAGCACTCTATCTTTTTGCTTACTATTTTCAGTTTTAGCATTCTAATAGTCTTCTAACACCTCATGCTATTTGAGTTTGCATACCATTGGATGACAAAAGTCTGTTAAAACATCCATATTATGTTTTGAGTTGGTTAAAACTGTTGGACATGGGTTAAAATGCATCCTTATGCTGATAACTCTTAGTTATTTTAACGAAAAAACAATCTAATCAGTTTAGATGGAAACAATGTTTTATCTATTTTTATAACTTAGGTATCATGTTAGCCAACAGTTTCACAGACATTTGTCGAAAAATACCAGTTTTAGTTTTAATAGATTCCCTTCCTGATGCACAGAGGTGTAGCCAGAAATTTTTGGTGGGTGGCTGGGCAATAACCAATGTACACTGAGGGGTGGCTGAAACTCAGGGTCAATCTATACTGTTCCAAAAGGATAATTAATGAGCAAACCATCCATATTTTCTAATTAAAGACTAACTATACTTTCCTACAGGCTTTGCTAACAAATAGACGCATTTAAAAATCCATATACATTTTCCAGAGAAAAGGTATAGTTGATAAAACTCAGTTTTGAGTTCTGGGCTGTAAATCAATCATTATTGTCATTACTTACCTACCTGCATAATTAAATATTCTGCATAAAATTGATATTTATAAGCACTGATATCTACATAAATTGATTATTTAATACGTTTTTATTAAAAGTGTTATTTATCTTTGATTTCACTGAAGACTCCCAGATGACTTGCAGAGACACATAATTTTCTCTTTACCCCATATAACACAAAATCTAGCTTTGAAAAGAACATGATTTCAGTAGTTATCATTTTTGATGTTAGTATATTGATGTGCATAATTACCCACAAAAAAATAAAATGTTTTGAATATTCCACTTGACTATCTGTATTAGACGGAAAAAATGGTAGGGGTGGCCAATGATTGGCTAAGGGTGGCCATGGCCACCCCTGGCCCCCCATCTAGCTCTGCCCCTGCTTGTGCAATCATCTCCTAGGTTTGTACTGATATAAGTACACTGTCTTTAGTTTTAGTAACACTTTCATTAATTGTTACTTATCTTCTGCTGTAATCGTCTTATCCCTCTATCGACTGGATATTTTTTAGAACAATTAAGCAGTTTTCTTTAAAGAAACAACTTGCTTTTTTAAACCAGACACTTTTCTTCCAGCATTTATCTTAGTCTCAGAGATCTTAGTTTGTATCTGCCTAAGAAGCAGTGGCGGCCGGCCCATAGGGGGCGCTGGGGCACCGCCCTCCCTGATAAGAAGAGAGAAACGTAAAATATATTTTTAGAAATTAACTCATAAATCAGTGGCGGCCGGCCCATAGGGGGCGCTGGGGCACCGCCCTCCCTGATAAGAAGAGAGAAACGTAAAATATATTTTTAGAAATTAACTCATAAATGTCAGTTTTACTCTCTAGACTGTGTACCTATAAGCAAAACAAATTATATAAACTACATTTCCCTATCTACTGTCATTCATTTGTGGATTTCCACAGACAGACTCCTACCGTCTCCGTCTTGGGGCGCTGATCAGACAGCCCCACATTTGCAGAGAATCTGTCAATCATGTACTATTGCTAGGTGAATTTAATGGCCAATCAGCGTCTCGGAACTTTATGGTATTGGGGCGCTGAAAATACTGCGCTTTAACAGGCTTCTGCACCCAAGCGCAGGTGCAGACAATTAAAGGGAAGATGGCGAATGTAACGAACGAGATGCAGCTTCCACCAAATTCGGTGAGATCGTTATTTATCTACCCGTTTGCCAGAAGAACATCCCTGTTGTAGGATATGAACATTTCATGTCATGGTTATTGTGACTGTGACGAATCCACCTCGTCGCTTAAAACAACCTCTCTAACTTTGTGCGCCACACACACATTCCTGTTATACTGTGTTTGTGAGGACCAATAGACTCGCACAGAGCCAAGTAGCTCCATGAACTTAAAACACACAAGCTGTTCCTGGTTACCTGCTGGCGTATTGAGGGTGCACACTTAATATTTCAGTGGGGTTAGCCGTGTGTGTGTGTGTGTGTGTGTGTGTGTGTGTGTGTGTGTGTGTGTGTGTGTGTGTGTGTGTGTGTGTGTGTGTGTGTGTGTGTGTGTGTGTGGGGGGGGTGTGGGTGTGTACGTGTTTATGCTATGGGGACTTGTCATCTTCAGTCTGGCTGCATCTTTGCTGGGTTCAAACCCAGTTTGGTGTAATTGAATAAGTCAATGAATCTGTGTAAAAGAATTAAGTTGTAAAAATTATTTGTTTTTGTACATCAATTGTTTGTGGAGGTAATATATGGACAAAACTGATTAATGAGAAGAAATCAGAAATAAGAGAGCCTGAGGTGAGGGGCTTAAACTATTTAATGAGGGCTGTGGGAAGAAAAGCGGCAATTTTTGTTTTCTGTTTCTTTGTTACATTGCTGGTAACTGGAGGGAGGCTGAGGCCCAGAGGATCTTGTATATGTTTAGTTTCTTTTGCACCCTGTTTTGAGTTTTTAAGCACAATAAATCACCAACACCGGTAACCCGACTGAGCCTGGATTCTTGGAGGCCAAAGAACCCCGTCACAGTGACCCAAATCATCACTGTTACTGTTATTATATAGTAAATTAAATCATTACTGTTAAATTGTATGTATTGTCCAATTGTTTATTTGAATTCTTATTCCGGATTAGTTGGAGACATACACTAGGCTATATCAGCCCCACCAAAAATATTTTTCACCAGCCGCCACTGCTAAGAAGGTTAGTTACTAATGAACTAAAAGCTAAAAAATTGTTTTTTTAATTTCTCTACTGATGTGATCTAACTGTCTGCCATTTACTTTCATTCTTTGTGCAAAAGTATTTTCAAGCTTTAAAGGCAATGCTAATGAAGGCACTACAGGATAAAATAAGGTAGTGGGAACTGAAGTCACCTGTGTCGCTGTCATAATTCATGGCTCTGTTAGAAACAATAAAGATTCTTGGAAAAGTGCTTAAAAGAAACTCAGATGGCCTTTCTCTAATTGAAAGGACATATGATTACATAAGTAGAAGGGAATATTTAAATACACATTCACACAATGATAGATAATTACATAGATGCTTGCAGGGGTTATAATAGGTCTGAGGCACTACATGCTGCAATGAGATGAACAAATCTTTAGGATGTGATCAATGAGCCTCTTTCACTGCCTTTAATATTCTCAAAGTGGTAATCTAGTGTTTAGAAGACTCTGAAATATATCATCTACAATTATGCTCATGTTTACCGAAATCTGTATGTCCATATATGTATTTGCCCTTTATAATGAAAAAAAGTGTTGCAAAAGGAAGTGGATTACATGAACGATAGTTTGTTTGTGTTTGTGAGAGAATTTATTAAACCACAAATAAGCTTTAAAAGCAAAAGGTTAAAAAAAATGTATCACATCAATGTACATGAATTAGGTATGTACTAGGGCTATGTAAGAGGAGATTATAAACTGTAGATGATCTGCAAAGCAGTGTACAGTAGTGCAGTGGAGGGTAGCTTATGCAACACATTACTGTAACTATGCTATGCTTTATTCTTTCAGTTTGATTTTACCATTTTTCCTTTTTAAATATACTTTTTATAAAGCAAGAATGCACTTCATCTGAGGTCAAACCATCTCAGACTGAATACATTTGCAAATCTAAGTGCTACGTTTGACGCAACTAAATGTGATTACAAGAAAGTGCACAGATGTTGTTGATGTCTTTTAAAACTTTTCAGGAATTTTGGGGGGCTTAAATGCTCTATGCTTTTTTTCCATAATGTTTTTTTTTCCTAAATGGTTTCCATGGAAAAGCAAGTCTGAATATAGAGCTGTTTTTTTTTAAGCTGTTTTAATAAAATAACTATTTTAGTTTTCTACAGCAATGGAACCAGATCTCTGGTCCACCATAACATTAACAATTACTTTAGAGCAAATTATTTGGGGGTATTTTATGGAGGATTCCGCTGCTGTACAACAATTTAATTTTGGCATTTTTCTGTAATGGGCTGCTCAGTGGGGTAGTGCCTTTCAGCAAGAAGGTTGTAGGTTCAAACCCCGGCTTGGGATCTTTCTGCATGGAGTTTGCATGTTTTCCCTGAGCATGCGTGGGTTCTCTCTGGGTACTCTGGCTTCCTCCCACAGTCCAAAAAAAATACTGTTAGGTTAATTGGTTGCTTTAAAATCTCCTTAGGTGTGTGTGAGTGGTTGTTTGTCTCTGTGTTGCACTGCGATAGACTGGCAACCTGTCCAGGGTGTACTCCGCCTCTTGCCCATAGACAGCTGGAGATAGGCAGCAGCACCCCTGAAGGCCTCGCGACCCAGCTTGTGTCAGAAAATGGATGGATTTTTCTATAATAATGCTGTAATTTACTCTTCTTGCAATATTTTTTCCCTTCATAGATGTTCATCTATAGGGTTACACATCACCGTACCAATGGGCTTTTTTCCCCACAGCGTTTTATTGTCATTACACTGTCACAAGTACAGAGCAATAGAATAAACTCTCTGCATTGAACCCATCCCCTTGCAGCAGTGGGCTGCCATTGTGCGGCACCCAGGAATCAGTGTGGGATTAAGAGTCTTGCTCAGGGAGCCAGGGTGGCAGTCCGTGGGAGTCGGGCTTGAACTCAGAACCTCTGCCCTAACCACCTGGCCACCGCTCCCCAAAGCAGGCGTGAAGGCATAAGCATGAAGGGTCTTCCCTAAGGACCCACACTGGCAGCTCATTTCCTCCAGCTGGAATACGAACCCAGGCTTCCTGTTTGCAGGATGGGTGACTTACCACTTAAGCTAGCCAGCCGCTATTTGAAATCTTCCTTCGATAAATAAATGAACTTGAGTCAAGGGAAGCAATATCTTTAAGTTTTTTGAGGTACGTAACGCTATGATACTGCAATAAAAGATCATTTTTTTATGAGGCAATTTAGCATTATCTTTATAAATCACCTTTCTTTCCAAAGATCCAGTGTTTATGCATGCTTGTAATGAAAAAGATAGGTGACTGAGTGGCACACATAAGGAAGTCTGTAATTGCCAAGTTGATAATGAAGATGTTAGAAGGCGTCCTCAGACTCCGACTTCTGCAAACACACAAACAAAGGTTGAAAAACAGTTTTAGTAAATAGTTTTGACAGAAATTTCGCAAGGAAGAGATATAACCTCAAATACCTGCTGAAAGCATATATGACCAGGAAGTTTCCCAACATGCCTGTGATGCCCACAGCCAGTATTACAACGCCGATGGTGTAGTGAGCATGGTCAGGTACGTTCACCGTTGGAAAAGCATGGCCGGGAACGATACCTACCTATTTTTAGAGAAAAGGAAAACCATGGCTTATTTATAAAAATACAAAAATGAATGTTTAATATAAAAAATTCTACAGTATGTATAGCTTGTGTAAATACATATACATATACATATATATATATATATATATATATATATATATATATATATATATATATATATATATAGCTCAGCTGATATTAAAATCTTTTAAATGAAATTAGATGAAATGAAAGAATTTTAAATTTTAGGAAATTTTGACAAACAACAATAATTAAATCCACCAAATACAAACAAAAACGGACATCAAACCAAACCAATGTCCAATTTCCAATCAAACTAAATTCACCTGAACAAAAACAGAAACAAAACCCTCCACAAAATAAATCTGTCGGTATATACAACCAGAAAAATGACATTGATTATTGTAAATTGTACATTTTATTTCTTCATAGAAGTAAAACTTATTTTTCATACCCCCTGTCCTTCTAATTACACTTAAGGTAAAGTAACCTTACTTTTAAACCTCTATGTTTTTTATCCAATATTCAACACACAAAAAATATATATAGATATATACACACGATTATATACATATATGTATATACACATATAAATAAATCTACATTCATAGATGTAAAGGAACACATGCATATCTACACAAACACTTCAGGCCACAATCCACATTCACACCTTTGTCACATCTTTCTTTTTGACAAACGATTGCTGCCAAAGTGATGATTGTTGAGGTGATTAGTTCAATTTTGTGTACTATAATGTGGCACTAAAAGCCTTCTACAGAAAAGCTTTATACATTCTTGCAATTATTTTGGTATTTATTTTGTTATATCAAGTTGGACTTGATGTTACTGAACTTCATGGTATGATTGGATGGAACTGGTATGAGAGATGGATTTGATTTCATTTTTTTTTTACAGTTTAACATAAAGCAGCCTCGTTGGGCTGCTGATGGGCTTTGAGATGACATTTGCAGTGATTTGGCGGTTCATAAATATATATATTTGAAATAACCCTGCTTCAAGAAGTCATTCTTGCTTTTTTTGTTTTTTGTTATTACTTCTTTTTATTATACATTTTGGTCTTTCTCAGGTAACAGAAATGATTATTTTGGGTATTTTTGTTGTCACTTCAAAAAAACAACAAAATTGTAGGCTACTTCTCAGTACCACATCAGATGATTTTGTCCACAAAGTCATCAAAAAAAAAAAAAAAAAGAACCAGAGCAGCTAAATAACTTAGAATAAATTCAGGTATTTATTCAAGTTTGGTAAAGCTGACAAGAGCAAAAGCCTGGGAAAAGTGAAATCTTTTCATAAATGCAGTTTTCTGCCATCCCAGGTGTCCATGCTTTCACCAGCTGAGTAGCTTCACCTTAAGGCTCAAAACTCAATGTCAGAATTTTATATTCTTACACACTGCATGCATGACAGTTTTCTCTTGTCTCTCGGTGAGCTTCTTTCAGGCAGACGCTCAGCCACCCACTCACCCAGTTGCACACGGTGCAAATCATTACCAGGACTACCTCAGCTGAGCCCAGTGTTTAACAGGAACTAACTCTCAGACAGATATCGGGGATTTTTCGAAGTTAATCCTGGCTGCGGCAGCGTTTATTTCTGTGTTTGACATCTGCTTCAACAGTCCTACTTTTCTGCAGAGTTTTACCATCACGCAGTGAAAAGGAGGGCGTTTAGCAGAATGTTATGTAAGAATAACAGTGAAAAGGTCACTGGGATGTTTTACAAAGATATTGCAAGTTTTAGATTTATATATTGTTTCTGTGTGGAATGTAAACAGCAGATCTTCTAACAGCCACTTCCTATCCTATATCTCTTTATCTTTTTGAGTTCCAGATGCTTCCAAGATTTTCTTTGCAGTGAAATCTCTTACTCTTTACCTTAGACCTTTGCTTTCTCTCCTGTTGACTGTCTGTGAGCTCCAGCAGCTAAGTATCAGATTAACGGCAATCACACGGCAGACAAGGGGGGAAATAAGGGGAAATCTCTTCTGTGTTTTCTTTTGATTTAAGGGAAATGTAAAGAAGCATTATCGCTTTAAGGTTTCTGTGTGCTTTTATCTCTTGTAATTTAAATATAACTGGTCTGGGTGCCTCTTAACACAGTGATATGCAAATAGACGAATAATAACACAATTTTAACAAGTAAAAGGGTGAAGATCAGGAGTGAAAGTAGTTTTAAATTCTTACTGGTACTATATTAAAAAACAATTGGCCCATATAGTTTTCTTACATCATTATAAAAGATCCGACTTCTTATGATATAGACTTTTATCTTATTTTAGATTTGAGCCTTTAGTTTAAAAATAATGAAATACATATTCAGGACTCTATTTGATCCTTAATTTAAAATGAAAAAGAATATTTTGTGTCAATTCCAGCATTTTTTTAAAATCCTATTCTGAAATATATTACAATAAATACCTTATCACCATTTATCCATACCGTTTAGAAGATTAAAAAGCCTTTTTTTGGCAATATGGCAATAAAACTTACCAGGGATATTTTATAATACTAGGGAGGCTAAACCTCCTCTATAAATTTCGTTAAATAGTAAGTCAAACATATCAAACCTCATAAATGTTGTCATTAAAGTGAATTTAATTTCATGCGTATGTTGCACATTTATCTGCTGTTGAGTCCAGGACGCTGCCTGTCAGTCTATCTCAGTAAAGGCTTGAGCCTTTGTGCATTCACTCAGAAAAGTTATCTAGTGCTGAACTCTTGCCATGGTTTCTGAAGTTTTTTTCCACTTATTTCAGTAATATGTTTATGCATTTCAACTAACGTTAACAATACTTTATGCTTGGATTGAATTAACACCATTAATCTGCCCGTTTCAGAGAGCAACAGCATCCCTGTTTTTTTTTTTTTTTAGCTAAGCTGTAACTCAAGCTAATGCATTTAATACAGAATACAAGAAAAATACATACAACAATACATACAATTTTAAAGTTTGCCACATTTAAAAATGTTGAAAAGAGGTGTGAAGGCAGTGTGAAGTTTAAAATGTTTTAGGATTATCTTCACCTTTGAGTTTTTTCAAAATGTGTAATTATAGTTGATAGTGTTGCGCCGATGCCATTTTTTGGCCCCGATACCGATACCCGATACCTGGCTGTGCAGTATCGGCCGATACCATAATAATGTAAAATAATAGCCATCGTGGCTTTGTCAAGCTGCTGCCTACCTTTGGAAAGCAGGAAAAAATCTAATACAAAGTGAATCCAGTAGAACTTTTTATTGCCTACCAGGAGTGGGTGACAATAGTTGAATAAACTTATGGCTCTCAAAATGGTATCGGTGCCCTATTTGTTGGTACTCGCCGATACCGATACCACCATTTTAGGGCAGTATCGGGGCCCCGTCCGATACTGGTATCGGTATCGGTGCAACACTAATAGTTGATGCATTAAATTTTTGGATAAGACCTTGATTTTGCCTATAGAACATACAGACATTAAAAAAAATGCTTTCTGCTCAATCTGTTTTATTAGACTTAAAGTATTTTCTAAAAGTAACAACTGTTAAGTAGATGTTTGAAATGTTTTTTTTCAATCAAATCCACGCTTTTGTTTTGACATTTTAATCACTCAATTTTTTTATTCAAAACATAGTTTTAAACAAACATGTTTCTATGAGCTATTGATGGAAATTCATGTAAGTTAACAAAAAAAGTGAGTTGAAAGCATCAATCTCGGTAAAATGGAGTAAAGTTAATGAAGTAAATAAACTTTTTAAACATTCGTTAACTTGTTCAACATAAATATCTATCTGTCAAGGTGTTTTTTTTATGTGCATCTATAAAAGCATCTCTAACAATCCTTATTTTGCTGAGAAGATTTTCTTTCAAGCAAGAGATTCAGAAATACAGAAAATGTTTACACCGGTGGCGGCTGGTAGGGCACGGCCTCACCCACCCAATGACCTTGTTTAAGACGTAAAAAAAAAAATTTTTAATTCTAAAATTAAATATATATATATATATATATATATATATATATATATATATATATATATATATATATATATATATATATATATATATATATATATATATATAATAAATTAATATATTTTTTTAGATGTGCAAGATAAATATTTAATCTTCAATGACGAGTAAAGCCGTTTTCATATTTTTTGGATTGGTTCCGTATTTCCCCCCTATGGCGCAATCGACTCTCGTTAAAAGCTGTACATGTGGAGTAGCTTCTCCGCAATACAGATGTAAAGGAGAGCTCAGGGTGCATATGGCAGTCCATTTTGACTTGCAACCTTTTCAGAGCACAAGCGCACTGCTCTAACCCACTATGCCCATGTTCAGTAGACTATAATGAGATAGTATATTTCATTGTTCTATTTTGGTAAAATAAAATTTCTCTCTCTCAAAAAAAAAAAAAAATATATTTTTTTTTAATCTATAGACAGACAGATATGTGGATTTAATGTCTTACAAATACGACAATGTTTCTTTCATTATATTTGTATTTAAAAATTGTAATTTTTTTTAATGATAAAGCAAATGTAGTTTACCCTGTTTAGCAATTTCTGTCTAGACCCATTGTTTTAAGCCCTAATCTTGCATTTGCTGTGTGAAAAGAGACTTGGAAATAACATCTAACGGAATGATTGTTAAACACTAAACCACAGAGTGGTAAAAGCCAGGGATCACTGTGTGACAAACACTCAGTTTAATTAATTCTTTGTTCTTATTAAACTTAATCCCTATTTAATCTAATTATTTGAAAAAAAGATAAAACAAAACAAAAATTAATGTCACACATGACTTTTCAGAGGAGGAGGGCTTCACTTTCCGTTAAAGCTACAGTGTGTAATTTTCAGCGACATCTAACGTCCAGACTGCAGACCGCAGCAACATGAACATCTCCCCCCCACCGCTTCTCCCCCCCAACAGTACGGCGAGCGTTACGGGACAAAATGTCTTCCACGACGTCGGAATCACCTACCTTCTCAAGT